GAGTGCGGATGTGGCACTAGCCAAAATGACAGGCTGGGTGACTGCCAGGGGGTAGTTCTGGAGGACCATGCCCTCGGGAGGATGTGAAGGGAGGATGGGGTGGTGAGTAGCCAGAGAACAATGGCTGGGTTTTAGACAGAGAAAGGACATGTTGGGTTGTGTGTTTCCAATGGTTGGCTGTGGTAATTGTGTGGGATGTGAGCAAGAGGAGAGGATGGCTGGAGAGGTCGGGAAGAAGCTGAGAGGTGAGCTGGCCCGAGGGTGGAAAGGGTCTGAATGAGCCTCCAGGGAGGGAGGCTGTCTCGGAAGGGCAGGGGAGGGAGGTGTCGTATTGAAATGTGAATTTGAGAGGCTTCAAGTGGAACATGTATGAAGTCCTAGGAGACATAGTCAAAGTGATGGGTTGAGGAATAGATTGTGGACAGTCTTGAAAGTCAAGAAGTTTGAATTTCTGCTTAACACCTGAGGAGATTCGGCACAATGAACATCCACTTGCACGTGAGCTTCCCTCTCCCTTGTGAAGGGTGACTGTCCCCCCAGGAGGACAGCCCATGGTCTATGGGCTCCACTCAACTCCCTTGTGGACCATGGGAGGACATCGCAGCCACACTCCTGTCCTCTCTCCTGCATCTTCAGCTCTTCCCTGACTTTCTCAAAATCACTGAGGGCCATGGGACCTCTTGTAACCAAATAAGGTTACCTTCCTAATCTACTTTTCTCTGCTTCCCTTTACCACAAACCTCCCTGAAATTGCTTTCCGGCTGGGACTCCCCATGACTTCTCCATTTTATGAATTTCTTATCACTCCACCAAAATCACTTTTGTCCTGTCCCAGGTGGCTCAGTTGGTTGGAATGTCATCCCATGCACCAAAAAGGTTGTGGGTTAGATTCTCAGCCAGGGCACATAAATAGGTTGCGGGTCTAATCTCCAGTCTTGGTGGGTACGGGAGGCAACCAATTGATATATTGAGGTTTCTCTTTCACATCAATCTCTATCTGTCTTTCTTCCCCTTTCCCTTTCTCACAATTAATAAACATATCCTCGGGTAAGGATTAAAACACACAGAACAGCCTACTCTTGTCGGACTCCCCAGTGACTCCGTGTCACCGAGCCCAGGGGTCTTGGCTCTCTCAGCTATCGTGTCTGACCTGTCTGAAGCAGTTGTCTTTTAGTTCTTTTCTCTTAGTTCTTATCCTGCCTCATTGACCACACTTCTCAGTCTTGCTCATCTTTCTTGCCTTATGAATGTTGTGTCCATTTACGCTCAGAAAGTTCTCTCCCAGGCCCATGATTGTAAAAGCCATCCATCTCCTAGTACTTATCTCCTAATGATTTACAGATTTATTTCTCTGGCCTGGACCTCTTCCCTGAGTTCAGACTAGAATTTAACCACCCATTTAGCATCTCTACTTAGAAGATCTCCAATAGGCCTCTCTCAGACATAACCTTTGGTCTCCCTCCTTCCTTAAACCTGCTTCTCCCCTACTTTCCTAGTTAGTACCAGGGGCCCAGGCCAGAGAATTTGGAGTGACACTTGACTCCTCCTTTTCTCTCCTTTGTCACCCACATCCACAAATGCTATTAGCTTTCTGCATTTGATGTAGATATGAAATCCAGCCACTTACCATCACCTTTACTTTCCAAGCCCAGGACACGGCACACCTGCCCCAGATTGTTGCAGACAGCCTCTGCACTGGGTCTCTGCTCTCACATTCGGCAGCCAGAGTCACCCGTTGAAAATATATTGGTCGTAGTATTCTGCTCAACCCTGTAGTGTCCTCCCATCACACCGTGGATGATCCAAAGCCCTCGCCTTTGTTTAAAAGGCCGTACAGTCTCCTGTCTGACTTCCTCACCTGCCATTCTCCCCACCCTCACGCAATAGAAAACTGCAGAGAGGATATGATTGGCCAGTTCACTGGAGAAATACAAGTGGTTCAGGGATGAACAGACAGATGTCCATATCACTAGGCTTTGAGGAAAAAAACAGAGTGCAATGTAATATTTTACCCATTACTTTGGCAAGCGATGGATGATGATCTGGTGTTGCAGATGTGTAGTGAACAATTTCCAACTTACATTGGTGGTGTCCTTTTTGAGATCAGTTTTGCAAGAAGCTTCAAAGAGCCTTTACATTTTTACAATTTCTAAACTAGAAAGTCTACTTTTCGTAATTTGTACAAAGGAAACAATTGGTTGACTACTGAAGTTTTTATTTGTAATTATTGGAAAACAGAAGCACCTTAAATCACTAATAGAAAATATCTAAGTTATGGCTCATTTATACAATAGAGTACTGTGCATGCATTGAGAAGAACATAGAAACATCAAAACGTATAGCTGTGTGTGTTTTCCAAGTGAAAAGAATCAGGATACAAATCAATATGTATAATGTAGACTCATTATAAGTATACATAAACATGTTCAGAAAAGAAATAAGTGGTAAGGATATATAGCTAAAAATTGACTTCAATTGGTAAGATTAGAAGCAATCTTTACTCTTATTTTGCAATAAGCATTTGTTATTTATAATTGGAAGAGATAAGAGAAAGGAAACAGGCTGCATTGTCTAGATGCACCATATATTCTTCACTTGGCAAACAGAGGCTGCCTGGCAGGAATTCCTTCAATTTCCTGGTCCCTTCCTCACCCGCCCACCACTGACCACAACAAGCATTGCACCTGTCTGAGCATAGTGCCTTATCTCCGGCCACAGGAAGATTGGTTCTTCCTTCTGTCTGAATTCCTCCCTGCTCATTGACTCATCTTTTGCCTTTGTCCTCCGTATCTTCATGTTGGTGGCTTTTCTTATCAGTATTTGAACATGCTCATGGCTCACCCATTTTCCACAATCTAAGTAGTGCTTGCTTGCTCTGTGTCTAGCACTTTATCCTAAATTTGTTACTCTCTGATTACTTTGTAGAACTTGCTCATAGTATTCTAGTAGATTATTCTTTTCTGTATTCATTCATTCACACAAGTATTTTCTGTGTGCTGAAGGCCAGGGATATAGAGATGATGGCTCACAGCTTCTGTGTTCAATGCGATTACAGGGGAGTGAAATTCACCCTGAAATAACCCCCCCGCCCCCCAATAACTTATAGTGTTTAAGGCTTTTCTTTGGAGGAAGAGATATACTAATAGTTGTTTCATCTGTTAATTGAATTTTTCTTTTTTACCTTAGTACTATTAAGTCATTAGATAAATACTACATTTTAAAAGCACAATGAAATACCATTGACAACCCTCTATAATGGCTACAAGAAAACAAAATGGCAACACCAACTATTGGAAAGGTTGTGGAGCAGTTGGCATCCTTATCCATTGCTGGTGGATAGGCCAAGAACAGCCAATCTGGAAAACAGAGTGAGAGTTTCTTATTTAATTTACCACATGACTCAGTAATCCCATTCCTCATTGTCTACCCAAGAGAAATAAAATCATGAGTTCACACCAGAACCTATACATGAATATTCATGGTGGTTTTAATTCATAATTTCCCCAAACTGGAAACTGCCTCGGCGTCCTTCACCTCGTAAATGGGTAAACAAACTGGAGAGTGTTCATACAATGGAGAACTGCTCCACAGTGAGAAGAAGTGGGCAGCCGACACACTCAGCAGCATGGATGAATTACAGATGTACTGTGCCCAGGGAAGAAGCCAGACTCAAAAACCTATCTGTTGTGCTGTATGGTTCCACTTGAGAGGGAAAGCAAACATGTAGGATAGAAACATCAGTAGTTACCAAGAGCTGGGTATAAGAAGAGGGGTTGACTATAAAGGGTACATGGGGATTTGGGAACGATGGAATTGTTCTATATCTTGATAGTGGCAGCAGTTACTCAAGTATACCCATTTATCAAAACTCCTAGACTATACATAAAAAAGAGTGTAGTTTACATTTTGTGGCTTATACTGTAGTAAACCTGACTTCACATTATTTTTAAGGCAACCAAAATTTTTTGATATGTGTCATATTCACGTGTTTCATAAATCCAAACAATATGAGGGAATAGAGTGAAAAACCTCATCCCTACCCTTGCTACCTAAAATCACCAGGTTTCTCATGCATTTTGAAGTTTCTCTGTATGTAAGTATCATCATATATTTATACTAGAGGCCCAGTGCATGGTCCATTGGACTGGCCTGTGCTCTCTCGCAATCTGGGACCCCTTGGGGGATGTCATACTGCTGGTTTTGGCCCGATCCCCACAGGCCAGGCCGAGGGACCCCACTGTGCATGAATCCACGCACCAGGCTTCTAGTATGCATATAAGACCTTTGGTTAATCTCTTCCCGCACTCCTCCTCCCCCCTTCCCTCTGAGATTCATCAGTCTGTTCCATGTTTCAGTACCTTTGGGTTGAGCGTCTACCTCTCTGGTAATCAGTGCACATCATAAGTACCGGTGGAAGGATAGGATGGTTCGTTAGGCATATATATATATATATATATATATATATATATATATATATATATGTAATATATAGATGTTCTCATTTTTATGATTCCTAACAGAACACAGCTTGTTAACATAAATTTCCATCTTTTCTCAATATCATATATGTTACAGTTCTTTTCATACCTGTGCATTTAGATCTTCCATTCTTTTCTGTTGCCACATGGCACAGATGTTGTTGTGTAAGGGTTTAGACTGTATTTGACCAAATCTCCTTTGATGGACCCACATTTGTTCTCCTTTGTTCATAGTGTTGCAGTGAATAACTGTAGATGTAGGCAGTGCTGATATAACTCTTGTACTGGAAACAATTTGTTCCAATGCAATTGATACATCAGGGGACAGTTGTAGCATAACCTGAAGTCTGAGTTTGCTCACGTGTAATTTCATTTCTGAGAAATGGTAGGTGAGTATGGAAAGCTGGATTGGAGTTGTGTAGTAATATGCAAAACACACCCCCACCTCAGGCTTCCACCTGTGACCCCATCTCCCTGTGCTGAGTCACACTGATCCACATCTGGTGTAACAATTTCCCTTCTACCCTTCTTCCACCACTTCACAAAACTCAAAGGCCACAGCCCTTGGACCCCACCTCCACAAGCAAACTGCAAGTCTTTTTCAAGGCAAAGTGTCGTTTTGATGTTGCATTATCTATATACTAGAGGCCCGATGCATGAGGATTCATGCAAGAACGGGCCTTCCTCTCCCTGGCTGCTGGCACTGCCTTCACTCCGGCCAGAGCTGCCTTTTAGCTCTGGTCCAGAGCTGCCTTTTTGCCTTCCCATGCTGACCAGAGGCCCAGAGCAGCTGGGGCGGTGCGGAACGCCTTGCATCGTTGCCATGGCAATGACACAAGTGCCTTAGCCGCTGGGCACCTGCACATGCTAATTAAACCTCCATCTTTGTTGGGTTAATTTGCATACTCCTGACTGGCTGGTGGGTGCAGCAATTGTATGGTCAATTTGCATCTTACTCTTTTATTAGTGTAGATTTCTCAATCTTTGACATGTATAAAACGATGTCACTGATGGTGGTTTTGAGTATGCCCCTACGCTTAATTTTGGATGGAAGCCCTGTAGTTTTTAATGACTGATGTTGCATAGTGAAGTGATTTATAACGTGTTATATGTACATTGCATCATTATCACAGAACTGATTGTACCGTGTGTGGGTCTATCAGCAGAATAGATTTCCAGGTGGTGGAAAGGCACAGAGTTAGAAATTATATTCTAAGGGATTGCTGCTGTGATATGCTTAAATTATGCAGTTGATTTTTCCTTTTTCATAGAGGGTAGAGCTGACAAGTGTCAGCATGGTTTGGGAATAATTATTCCCCTTAATCTTGAATTTGTGGGTGTTTCTGGATGCATGAGGGCCAGTAAAGAGGATTTTTGCATGTTGGGGCGAGGCAGAGCCTCAGGAGGCAGGAAGCTCAGGAAGAGGGGAAGAGGATGGCTAGCCAATTGCATTTGTGAAGATGGGACTTTTCTCCCTAACTTCTTGCACACAGAGAGGCCTTCAAGCCAGGAGACAAGAAGGGACTAGTTCTCAGCCCGGAGAATTACTGCCTGTGACAGAGCCAACCCCAGACACATCCACCAAGTGCCATAGAAAACAATGGGCTTCTGGGCCTTTTAAATCCCGGAGTTCAGACTGTGAGGCCCAGGCTGGAGCATTCAGAGCAAAGAAATTTGCTAAGAGGAACAAATACTTTCTTTCCCAAAGTATGTGAAGATAAAGAGTCGACAACTGGAAAACAGGGAGGACGTGGACCCAAGAGTTCCATATCTTACTATAAGGTTTTACAAAAGTGTCCAGACCCTGCCAGCTTATTATATTTGTTCAGCATTTCTTCAGAGAGTTCTAAGCAAAAACAAAACAATTAATCATTGAGTGGGAAAACATGCCTATTTTCTAACTTTAGTTTTTTCTAACTATAAAAAGGCTATGGTTCCCTTAATATCAGCTTACCCTGCATTGGAGCCAAAAGGAAGTAAATGACCTTAAAAGTTTGAAAATAGAACCATGATAAACTTTACACTTTCTTAATACTGGTTTCTCCCCCATTTTTGTTTGATTGATAAAAATTGCTTTCTGTGTTATAAAGTAACAGTGTGAACTTTTATAATGTTGAAGATGTCGTTATAAAATTAGTTAAGTTAAAGCATCTTAAAATAAATTAGCATTTATTTAGCAAAGAAAAAAAGCATTTGTTGCCCTAACCAGTTTGGCTCAGTGGATAGAGTATTGGCCTTCGGGCTGAAAGGTCCCAGGTTTGATTCCAGTCAAGGTCATGTGCCTGCGTTTCAGGCTCAATCCCCAGTGGGGGGGGCATGCAGGAGGTGTCCAATCAATGATTCTCTCTCATCGTTGATGTTTCTATCTTTCTTTCTCCCTTCCTCTCTGAAATACATAAAAATATTTTTTTTAAAAAGAAGAAGAAAGTCATTTGTTTAGTTAGGTACTGTGAACATGGCAGATTTGATCTGGAAACTGGCATTTAAACTTGCAATTTTCTTGTCACCAGTGATTTTGAAACCTTGCTCCATTGTTTTGGGGCGTGCACAGTTCATTTCTGCATTTAAAAAATAAAAATGATGAAAAAGAACAATATCTCACATTTTGTCATCTCTTTGAAAATAGTAATTACTGATTCAGCTAAACTGCTCTTCATTTAATTTATTACCCACTGAGGATTTCTTTATTGAAATTTCTCTATTAAAATTTTGGTTTGCTATTAATATACTATACCATAACAAGAAATGGAATTTAAGCTCTTCATCTAAAAAGAAAATGAAATGTTCATTCCTCTTAGGCCTCTTTTCCCTTGTATGGTTAGAAACATTCACTTCAGTGCCTTCATCGGTAGGCATTTTTGCTTTTCGAAATATGTCCTGTGTTGGATTCTTCCAGGCAATGGTGATATTGCCATTCTTATGTACAAAGTTCAAAGGGAATAGAGGTATTAGTAGGTATTTAAAACTATTGAAGCACTGGGAACTGCTCATGACTGACGGTTCTACCCTTACAGCTGTATTCTCAATGTAACGTCATATTTGTACTCAGCCCACCTAAATCTAAGAGGCTGGGGTTTACGGTGGTTTGCTTTGTGTGACCACAGTGCTTTATGAAGGAATACCTTTGGGAGGAGGGACAGCGTGCTCAGAGGCACCAGCTGCTGTTGGCTTTGTTCGCTCTCTTTCCCACAGATTACATGCTTAGGAGAACAATGCAGGCAGTGGGCCGGCCTTCAGCTCCAGCAGAAGAAACGTCCTCCTTTGCCTTTGTCTGGGTCAAGACCCTTTTGAACACCTGCCAGACTGATTTGCTTTATTTAAAAGACAATATTTTCCACTTCTTTAAGATGGAACTTGGATGTGTAACTTTACTTTTATTAATAACGGAGCATCTATGGAGGATTTCTGTGTCCCAACCTCAGTGTTAACCTTTACGTTACCTCCTCAGAGGTGGGATCACTTGTGTGGCTGCTACTTCCAGGGGGAGTAGATGCTTAAAACTCTCAGGCACTTAGCTTTGCCTACCGGTTTCACTAGGACATGCTTGTCATGTGATGTAAAAGCACTATTAAAGATATATTTATCATTCCTTTATCACTTACCAGTTGCTTGCTCGCTTATCTCTTTTTATTGCCAAAAATAGTAATGTTATTTGAGAGAACATACTCCCATGAGAGGTTTAGGAATAACTTCAGCCTTATTTTTAATAAGGGTTGAGCCAAATTGTGTTTCATTTCCTAGGCTGACAGTTCTTTCTAGATCTGATTGACTTATGATACGTGGTTTCATTGCAGATTGCAGTACTTATCACACCCAAAGAATGTGTTGTAAAGTTAAGCCACTCGTTTTACTTAATAGGTTTAATGTGGAAATATGTCGAGGTAACATAATTATGTCTTAGCCAAAGTGGGAAACTTTTAACTTTGAAATTTTTATATAACTCTTGGTAGCTTTATCTTGCGCTGTCCAGTCTTCCCCTCAATTCTCTCCCCTTCTCTCTCCCACCTCTCTTACATATACCAACAGGCAAATCTCCATAAAGTGGTTTCAAACATTTGTGTTCTTGATAGAACCAAATGGTATTATTTAAAATAAAAGGCCTCCTGGAAAACTCTTTCCTTATATAAAAGGATATTTCCTTAATCATTAAGTGGGAGAAAGTTAAGGAGTTTAATTAAAATGACACATTGGATAAGATGACATATTCTCTCTCGAGATCATGAATTACATAATGAATCGATTTGGTATTTACTGGAGAATTAAGTTGCTTTAAAAAATAACATTCATTATATTTCTTTTGCAAAGAACATGTATGTAATGTTTTCTCTTAAAATAAATGAGTGTTCAATCAAAAACAAGTGTTTGGGGGAAATGTATTTGTAATTTTTTTACTCTCACAATAAAGATTGCTGCATTCTGTAGAAATTAGCCTCTTCGTGGCTACTCCAGCCCATGTTGCTAACAACAAAGTCTGAGTATGTAACTGACACTCTCAGGAAAGAGCTGTTCCTAACGAGAACGTGTTTTCTGTTTCTGTCCTCTGATGGCTGTCTCTCCCTTCTCCCTAACACAGCAAATGAAGAAGCACCCGTGCCGCCAGTGTGACAAGTCCTTCAGCTCCTCACACAGCCTGTGCCGGCACAACCGCATCAAGCACAAAGGCATCCGGAAGGTTTACACCTGCTCGTAAGTTCTGGCTCTGATGGGGGAGCACAGAAAGGGGCTGAGCGGATCTCACCGAGCTCTTCCATCTGTGACCATTCCTTTTCCATCCCCATCCTCTCTGCTCCACGGTGTACGGATTTCATTTCTTAACTGAATTCTGCTGTTTTGACATGCAGCTTCTTCTTTAATCCTCACTCCAGGATATTTTACCAGTGATTTCTTTTTAATTATTATTATTTTTTATTTTTATTTTTTTAGGGAAAGTAGAAAAGAAAGGGAAAGACAGAGTTTCATCAATGTGAGAGGAGCACATCGATTGGTTGCCTCCTGCACGGGCCCTGGTTGCCAGGCCAGAGAGGAGCCTGCAACCAAAGTACATGCCCTTGACCAGAATCAAACCCAGGACCCTTGGACACCCTATCCATGGAGCCAAACCGGCTAGGGCAACATGCAGTTTCTTGATTGGGCTGTAACACTTAAAATGTTGAACTAGAAAGGAGCTGTTGCTTGCCCAGCCTGTGTGGGTTTCTGTGTTCTTGGCTGTTAACCCACGGGTGTCCATTTTATCAGTGAGGATTTCGGAGAAGTGATTGAGTCGCAGTTGCAGGGTGGAGTCAGTTTGATTGACTCAGTAGTTCAGAGAGGCCCTGATGGGCTTGGTCATGGTCCTGGAGTCAGTCCTGGAGACAGGGTCCTGGAGACAGTTGCCCATCAGGACAGCTCTGTCTCAGTATGCTGTTGGCCAAGACACCAAAAGCATGGGACTGAGTGGCCAACACACTGGATAGTCACACCACCAGAGATGGTCATGAGCTACTAAGTGTGTGATGATCTGAAATAGTTATTATCAGTGAAAAAGCTTTATCCCACACTCAAACTGGAAGCTGTACTGCCTGTCTGAAGCTCGTGTGCACCACGTGGCTCCGGGCACCGTGAAGGTTGACTGTGGGGCCAGTGGGGCTTGGTTATTAGGGAACGTTTCTTGGGTAGGAAAGCGGGGACGTAGACTCTCCTTCAGCGACACTGAAGCTGGGAGTGATTTTGGAGAGATGAGAACCTCTGTAAAAAGGAGCTGTTGAGATTATATTGAAAGAATCAGAATTTAGAAGGAAGGCCCGGACTGGGAAGAAGGCCTGGAAAAGGAAGTCTGTCAGGGCATAATCCAAGTCTAAAAAAGACTCCTTCTGCACCAAATCAGACTGATCCTATATGGACACAAAAATAGTCAGAAAACTTTTTATAAAAGCGGCTCAATTTTTTTTGGCATAAATTGTAAACTTCGATTTTAGCAAAGTTGCTACTTCACTGTGGAGCATTGGTGTTCACTCAGGTCACCGTGACCCCTCTGTGTGTGCTGTTGGTGGTGACGGTCTTTCAGCCGTGACAGCGACCCTCACTGCGAGTTCCTTTTCAACAAGCCGTTACCCCCTTGTCTTTGGCTCCACAGGCACTGCCCAGACTCCAGGCGGACCTTCACCAAGCGGCTGATGCTGGAGAAGCACATCCAGCTCATGCACGGGATTAAGGATCCCGACTTGAAAGAAATGACAGAAACCACCAACGGGGAGGAAATAGAAATAAAAGAAGATACCAAGGTCAGACATGGCAGATGTGCTCTTTCTGACAGAATTGTGTTGACTTGCTTTTTTCATTCATTCTTTTCATTTAAAACTTTCTCCAGTTACACGATGTAAAAAGTTCTGACTATGCATAAAGATATGAAATGCTAGGCGATCTTCCTCTATACCCACTCTGACTTTTCCTCTTGCTCCTAAAAGGTAATCTTTGTTAAGTTTCTTCTGTGTCCTGCCAGCAATAGCTTTAGGGATCTACGTACATAAATAAATTTTAAAATTTGACGTTGACTCAGAAATTGCCTCTTAGCCAGAAGGGAGGTGTGAAGCTGGAAACACAGTGGTTGTGATCGGGCCCTAATAAAGGTTGTGGTTCCTTTTCTCTTCTCTTTGTAATGAAAGAAGACGAAATGGCAACTGCGTGCCTTATGCTTACATCAGTGGACAGTGAACTTGGATTAGACAACAATGTCTATAATAACCTGTGTACATGGCATGTGGGTGCCAAGAGCTCTTAGGGTAACCAAGAGTCCAGCTGATGGTTAAGGAGTCCTGCTGTCTTTGGCACGGTGCCGCGTCTGGAACGTACCTGGGTAAAGCCTGTGTGTGTTTTCAAGGAGTTACTCATTGAGTCGAGGCCAGACAAATGTTGCATCAATTGTAATTCTTTTCCTCAAGAGATGTCCGGAGGGGAGAGGGAGGGGGAATTAAAGAGTGTTTCTCTTCAAAGTGTAAATCTTTTGCCTTTTTAGAGAACAGAGGTGGAGGGGCAGGTCAAGGTGTATCAGAGGTGCCCTGTGAACAAGGCAGAAAAGTCGGGCCATGCAGCTGGGAGGAGGGAGAGTCCCTTTGGTTTGGATTTTTGGAAATCTCGAAATGAGGGATTTGATGCGGGTCAGATCTAGAAAGCTGGAAAGGGAGGAGAAAGGTATGACCTGTTGGGGGAGGGTCGGGAAAGAGCGATTACTAGACCTCTGGGGCTTCCAGTGACTCTCCATCTCAGTCACAGAAAAGACACACCTGGCTTTTTCCCTGCTTCAGTTCTTCAGTCCCCCAGCCCCTGACTCCCTTTCCTCATCTCTGCTCTCATGGGTCACCTGCTCCGGCCCCGCGGGCCTTTCTGCTATTGCCCCGGCACAGGCCCTGCCTCTGGCCTTTGCTTTGCAACAGCTCCCCGTGTCTGACCCCTTACCGCGTGTGGTCCATGGCTCATGTCCTCCTGCAGCAGGCCTTTGTCTGATGTCAGGCACATCATGTGTAACTTAACCCTCCCCTCTCCTTCCCCCAGCCCTCCACACACGCTGTTTTCCTGGGTGTGACACTGTAGGTTGGCTCCTTGGTTGCTGCTTGTCACGCTCCGTTGGAGCCCACCTTCCATCAAGGCGGGGACTTGTTTGTCCCCTGCTGGGCCCTGGGCTGGAGCGCTGCCTGGTGACACGGGAACTCAGATTTGTGGAGCGGGTGAAAGGCCGGAGCCATGACAAAACCCCGATCCTGGAGCTCACAGCACACGTTTCCCGGCAGCTCCAAGTCCAAGGGAGCTGGTCCCTTGTCATCCGTCCAGCAGAACGGCTTTCAGTTGTGTCTTTTTTCCCCCCCAAAGGTTCCCAGCCCCAAGCGGAAGTTGGAGGAGGATGAACCAGTTTTAGAATTCAGGCCTCCCAGGGGAGCGATCACTCAGCCACTGAAGAAGCTCAAGATCAACGTGTTTAAGGTCCACAAGTGTGCCGTGTGCGGCTTCACCACCGAGAACCTGCTCCAGTTCCACGAACACATCCCGCAGCACAAGTCCGACGGCTCCTCCTACCAGTGCCGGGAGTGCGGCCTCTGCTACACGTCACACGTGTCGCTGTCCAGGCACCTGTTCATCGTGCACAAGCTGAAGGAGCTGCAGCCCGTGGCCCAGCAGAACGGGGCCGGGGAGGAGAACCAGCAGAGCCCGCCCAGCCCCGAGCACGAGGGCGCCGACGGCCCTGCGTCCGACAGGAAGTGCAAAGTGTGTGCAAAAACGTTCGAAACGGAAGCTGCCTTAAACGCTCACATGCGGACACACGGCATGGCCTTCATTAAATCCAAAAGAGTGAATTCGGCCGAGAAATAGCCACAGACCTTCCCAGAAGGGGGATCCCTGTCCACATTGGAATACAGAAGACATTTTTGTTACAAGAAGTTTGCAGTATAATAGTTAACAGTACTGTCTAGGCTGTTGCAATATATTCTCCTTCAACATCCCCCCTCCACCTCGTCGTGTATATCCTCGATAAGTATTACAGCAGTATTTGAGTTTAAAAGAGTTTGTATATATTTAAATGGAAAACTTTTTATACTCTTTGTTACATGTTTGTATCAGTATTTAGTAGGAAATGTTTTGAGTTTGGGGTTTTTTTTGCGGGGGTGCGGTTAGGATTTTTTCTTTTTGTATTGTTCCTTTAAAACAGAGTTCTTAGTAACAGGGGCAGTTCCTGAATTCAAATAAACCATTTTATATGTAATGGATTTAAAAGGGTTAACTAATTACAGGCCAAGGTAAGGCCTTTTTTAGTGTTTTTAATTTTTAAAATTCACTACATACATTGTAGGGGATCGTTGGTCTCAAAACACCTAGGGACTCTTAAGTGTCTTAGCACCATGCTCAGCGTGCCCGCTCCGGTCTGCGAGTGCACCCCTCAGGCAGAGCGCACTCCGAGGGCACGCGGCATCTTCCGGGCCAATCCAACCTCTTTAAAGCAGCAGCCTTGCCGGCGAATAAAAACTTAGGCCAGAAACCCAAACGCAGGGGGATTTCCCTATCTCCATCGTACAGGGGTGAAAGGGTATCTATACTCTGGTCGGATTCACAAGGCTGGCTTCAAGAGCACAAGGAGATAAAGTTACGAAAGGGCTGGACTACTGTAAAAGTTACACATAACGTCGTTAGACCAATAGATTTCTATAGTCAAGTTTTTGTCATGTAATTTATTAACTATTCTAAAGACACAACTAAAGCTATCAAGTATTTCTCTGGCTCTTGACAGGAAGTCAAAATTCCTAGTTGACTAACCCTTGGCTGTCTGAAGAGTTGGCGGTTTTTTTTTGTTCTGGGTGCTACTGCCAAACATTCTGGTACTTAGAGTTGGGATGCACTACTCCAACCACCGACTTACCAGTGCAGCAGCGCTGAGCCCCGGGTTTAGTCCCTCACTTCAATAACTACACTTATTGGGGGGAGGAGGGGGATCTCTGCTCGCTGGGAGCACAGTGGAGTCCTCTTCTGTCCTTTCCATTCACAGTTCTCTGGGAGAGTTCTATTTTTTTTGTTTTGTTTTATGTTTTCTTTGGCATTTTTATATCTTGTATTTATCCCTAAACATGTTTTGTACTTTTTTTCTTTTCTTTTTTTTTTTAGGAAAAGGAATTCTTTTGTGTACATATAGATACTTGCATGATATACTGTAGTCAATGTTCGGTTCCTCAAAAAAGGTCTTGCTGCTGTCCAGTGTTATGCACTACATCCAGAAGAACTGTATTCAACACATTTCATCTGTAAATAAACGTGGGACATTTGGCCCTTGTGCTTCTGTGAGGGAGTTATTGATGGTGGGACTGTGACGTCTTCCTGAAGCTCAGGAAGTGATTCATTTCAGGGACAGGCTACAGGATATTGCAGAAGAATGGCGTATTCATTCTCATTAGCAATCAGCTGTTTGTCACTTTCTTGTTGATGCCATCAGGACACCGATGTAACCCAAGGGCATGATTAAGTATTCCTCAACTTGACATTCAATTGCTGTTACTTGTTATATTTATACTTGTATTGCTCTGAGTTGTATTCATAGCACTTTCATATGTTTTTGCATTGGAACCTTGCAATAAACCTGTGTGGTGGGCTGCACAGGTCTGACTAGCTTAATTTTCATGGTTGAGGAAGCTGAGTTCCGATTAAATTCTTTACCTAAGCCCTCATAGTTGGTAAGTGGCTTTGCGTATTAGAACCCATATTCTTGCTCTAAATCTAGTCTCGCTCTATATGTTTATGTACATATTGGCAAATATTCATTTATTCAACAAATAAAAAGTATGTGCAAAACATGCTACTAGAATTTTTGTTTGTGGCATTGTGGCTTTTATAAGATAACCTGGAAGTTGATTTACTCTTAAATACTTAGGAATGCTTGTGCTGAGATCCAAAATGAAGACATGAAACCCAGAGTAGAAAAAGAATACAGGATGCTGTCTCCCTAGGAGATTTGGATGGTTCAACTGAAGAGGGAATTGGTGAACTGGAAGATAGGTCATGAAGACATTACCGAGAATACAGCACAGAGATGAGATGAAATATATGAAAAAGATTAGAAGTCAAGAATGACCTAAGGAGAAGATCTGACAAGTTTAATAAGTATTCCAGAGAGGGGGGAAACAATTGGGAAGGGACATCGTGGAAAATTCTTAGCTCCAACGAAAGACATGAATTCTTCATTTAAGATGGTGAACACTGAGCAGACATCCACATTGGAACTTGTGAATTCTACCTGTTCTTCACCAATTGTAGATGCTGGGTGTGGTTGTAGGTGTGGGCATTTGAGAAACAGGATATAGTCATACCAAAGGCAGAAACCTGGGCTTGCTTCATGAATCCTTAGGAAGCCATTTCCTCTGGTGGGGCTGTGGTTGCTGAGGCTGACAGAGTAGGCTCAGGACAGGTTGCAAAAAGCCTTCAATGACGGACTAAGGAGTTTACTTCAATACAAATTAGTTCTTTGGACAGGAGAGCGACATAACCAGATTAACTGGTAACACTGTTTAGGAAAGATGGTGGGAGAGTGTGTATCAGGATAAGTTAGGTTATACTACAGTTGCAATCCTAAATCATTTTTGTTGTTAATCTTCACTTGAGGATATTTTCCCATTGATTTCTAGGGAGTAGAAGAGAAATAGAGAAACATTGATGCTACCAAGATACAGGTTCTTGACCAGAATCATACCCAGGACCCTTCGGTCCTTGGGCTGACGCTCTATCCACTGAGCAAAACTGGCCAAGGCACAACCCTAAATCTTAACAAGATATATTTCCTGTATTCAATGTATTTCATGTCCATTGTGGGTTGATTGGAACATTGTTTCAAATCTGCTTGTTCTCTTATCCCACTGTCACAGAGGGAAAGGGCAATTAAATGCTTTGACCCCAAAAGTGGCACATGTCAATTTTCACAACTCCAGTCACAAAATCATAAGAAAGACAGGAAGCGCAACCCTACCAAGTGTCCAGAAGACAGAGCTGGAAATATTTGGACAACATTAATGACCATGACAGGAATAAAGTTGAAATCAGTGTAGCAGGGGTGCTAACACATGGCATGAAGGCTTAACCTAGGAGTAGCCTTGGCAGGGGGCTGCAATTGTAGGTAGCGTTTCAGAAGTAGCACCAAGAGAGTTTCATGCTGAGGGAGACAGAAACAAAGAGGATTTGCCTGGAAGTCCAAAGCTAGGTAATTTTTTAAAAATCCTCACTCAAATATACACTTAAAAGGAGGGAGAGAGAGACTTAAAAGGAGGGAGAGAGAGAAACATCTATTGTCTTCAGTACATGCCCTATCCAGGGATTGAACCAGCAGCCCCAGGTATGTGCCTTGACCAGGGAATCAAACTGGCAACCTTTCTGTGCACAAGAGGATGCTCAACCAACTGAGCCACTCTGGCCAGGGTCCTAGGTGATTTCTTAAGAGTTTTTAAAAGGTTTACATTACTACTTGGATATGTGAAAGTCAAAATTAGAGCTAGGTATGGTGAAGCTTGCACTTTAGATAAACATACAAGGTGTGTTTTTTGTTCGAATGTGTGGTTGTATGATTTTATCAATCATCAAGTAATGGTGCTGCAGTAAAAAAGGCCAACAAAGTGACAAAGACTTCTGATGAGAAACACGAAACTAGACCTAGACTACATGGCATGGACCGCTTCCTCCCAGAAACATTTTCTGCAAATTCCTCACTCCTTCTCCTGTCTACAGAGTAAGACCCTCCCCACTCCCCCGCCCAAGCTCTGGCTGGTGCTTCTCTCCAGGGCTAGTGGGCTAGTGAGTTGCAGCCTAAGATCATTGACCAACAGAGAAATTTCCTGTTGAAAACTTTGGCCAAGACTAAGATATTATTTTCTATTAATATATTCATCATGCTGTGATCTCTTAAAAGGAGAGAAGAGGAAAAAGTGTGTGAAAATAAAGTATGGCTTAAAAGAACCATTCATCTATCCCAAAAATGGTTTAAAAATAGAGGGGTGTGTCAAATGTGGAATGCTATATGCACCTCTTATTTATACACACATCCTTCAGATACTGTAAGTGTACTAGACTGTAGTTCCTAATTTTAAGCCTACACCTCAATTAGATTTAGTGACTTTAAGAACTGGGCTCCAGCTCATGCATGATTCATTCTTTGCTTAAATAGACACTTGCACCTTTTTGTTTACTTCAGGTTTCTTTTTGAAATTATAAATCTCACACCCAACAGAGGTCATCATAAACCTTTGCGATATGACAATGCAAACTTACGTTTCTGCAAAGAGCCTCTCTTCCAGCTACCACAGTTCTGCACTAGCCACATGTTACTCTAGCACCATTACCCCAAACTTCTTCTGAAGAGTCAGGCCTCAGTCCAAATGTTTGGGTGTGAGGCTGAATTTGAGTCAACATCCCCTTCCCACATCCACTTCCCCTCCCTACTATCCCAATAGATTTTGGTGAACATCTTAGTAACGGCTCACTTGATTGGACGATGGAGCTTTCATCATCTTAGCCTATGGTTTTCCTGGAGTTTGCTTACTCACATTTGCTGCCCTTGTTGGAAAGGTAGATCTGGGGGTGCCCACCATTAGATCCTGTATGAATTAGGGTCTTAGCAAGACACAACACACTAGCAAAGGTTTAATTTGAAAGAAATTCAGGAGGGGACTATATACAGAGCCACGGTCAGGACCAAAGGATCCTGGGACCCCCCCGGGATTAGCCGTGGTGGGGAGCCAGTGCCACCCTCAGGGTCAGAGTTGGTGTCATGGACCAGGGCCTCTTCATAAGCCAGAGCCCCATAAGCAGGGAGGGTGTGGGAGGGAAATTACAGGAAGCTGTCCTGTCACACGCAAGGATTTCCTGCCTGCACCTCCCACTGGCCAATCTGTAATGTCAGCAAGCAGGGCACAGAGGGATGCAATATGGATCTGGGGTACGGGAGGGAATCATCACAGTGACCACAGATGTCTAGCGCATGCTTTCAGAAGTGCCTGCTCTATGTCTGTCTTCTTGTCAACATGTATTTTACCCCCTGTAGGAAGGCTGTGAGCTGGAACAGGGCACTTTGTGTTCCATTTTAATCTTTTCTTTCTAGTTACCACACCAGGTTTACCCTGGAATTATACCCTTTCCCTAGTAGCTATATTTTACTTAAGGAAACAGAAGAGCACATTCTTTGCTAGTTTCTAAATTTAATCTATGAGGTTAGCTCTGACTCCAAGCAGCACTATTTATAGTGTTTCGTAGCATTAAAGGACCTGGTTATTCCATTTGCGGGGCTGTCTTATTGCATGCTGCTGACCTGGAGCTTTCCTGCTAGTGACAGAGGTGAGTTACACCACTGTGGCAAGTCTGCTTCAAGCACGATGCTTTGCAGGACTTTATTTTTATCTAGGGAAGCTCCATGGTCAGAATCCACTGTGTCACACCCCCAACGCGGTTCCAGAAGGAGTTTAGCCCAAGGGTAATTTTCTGACCTTCAGATCCAGTCAAGTTTAATTGGGTTGGTTATTTCTGGAGAATACATGTCATTTGTTTGATGAAAAAAGAACAAGGAAGGCAGAGGTCAGCCGGTTGGAGAGGATGGTGTGATGTTGACAAGAATAAGGAGAAGCAAAGCTGCATGTGCCAAAGGGAACTGCCGTCTCTTGGGAAGGGTAGATGTCTCTAAGTAGCAGGGGTAATGGACCTTTTCTTGATTTTTGTCAGTTCAGTACTGATTCCCTTCCAGTGTTGCAGATTCTGCCATTGTATGACTCTTGGCAAGAAACGGACCTTACTCTGGCCGGGTGGCTCAGTTAGTTGGAGGATTGTTCCCATACACTGAAAGGTTGTGGGTTCGATACCCAGTCAGGGCATGTACCAAGCTTGTGAGTCCATTCCCAGTCGAGGAGCATATGGGAGGCAACCCTTTAATGTTTCTCTCTCACATTGATGTTTTTCTTTTTCTCTTCCTTTCCCTCTCTCTCAAAAAAATCAATATGAAATGTACCCTTGGGTGAGGATTAAACTAAAGAAATGGACCTTGTCTTCTGCTCCGGAAGCCAGAAGGCCACTCTCCCTGACCCCTGGCAGCCTAACCTCAGACATGGGATGGCCAAGACCTGGCCTGAACAATGCTCCTGCTCGCGCTCTCCAGCAGGCGATGCAGAGGCCGGCAGTTTCAATGGATTCCTTCTGGTGGCAGGTGGCAATGGGCGCAGTGGTTACGGAGAGTTACCTTGGGAGCTGTACTTGCTGGTGAGGAAAAAGAAAGGACCAAGATGTGGGGGGAAGGAATGTGGGCCTCCCTCAGCCTCTCTGCCCACTGACTGCTTCCAAGGAACCGCTGAGCTTTCTTAGACCCGGGGTCTGTGGCCTCATGGTGGGACATTCAGAGCTTAGACGCCCCCTTCCCTCTGAGACTCTGTCCCAGCAGCGTGGCAATATCAGTTCCTGTAGAAGAGATTTATCAGGAAGCGAATTGTGTGCCTATCAATTACCCCCCCCCCCCCCAAGCAGACCTCTCATCCCCCACATCCTGTCACCTCGCCAGCCTCTTCTTTTCCCACTTCTTCCTGATTGTTCCTTCCATTCACTCTGCATATTCCCTTCCCAGGACCTGGATCTGGACCTGGCTGTTCCCTCTGCCTGGAATGCTCTTCCCTACATTGTTATTCTCACAAGGACTGTTTTCACTAATTTCTGGTTGGCTCAGAAGTCACCTGCTCAGAGACAGCCTTTCTGGTCACCTTGCTGGAATGTGCCCACCCCACCAACAGCACACACCACGCTCGCCATCTCCTTCCGCCGCATGATCTTCCTTCCTGGCACTTACCA